CATGGCGAGGTGTGTACGCTTATTACCGCTCATTATGCGAACTCTTCCCACTTTGGATCTTAACATGCGACGCAAGATGATCGTCAAGAATGCCCCACATGCATCGTGACTCACATCTATTTACAACTCGTGTGAGAAGGAGAGATCAGATGTAAATTACAATAAAAATTCTCCGTAATAAAAGAAGATATTTTTATAAGAAAAGAATATATATATCAAGTTAAATACATAGTATATATTGAGTAATTAAATATTATATAAGTAACTAATATTAATATATAATATAAAAATCATATATATAATGTATAATTTTTAAATAATATATATTTATAATTAATAATACATTTAATGAAGTTATTAAAATATTAAGGAGAAATATATATTAGAGACATTTAAATTATTAATCCAGTTACTGGCTTATTATATAATCATGTGTTTAATTTAATATACATATATTATTTAATCAATTCATTTTTCATATATTATTTATTCAAGTAAATTCAATTTTTGTACGTATGATGTAAAATGATACACGGCAGAAATATGCAGAAAAGTGTCGACAATTTTTTCCCATAGCCTTGATTGCGCGATAGATACTAAATATCGAGTATCCCGCACTCGAGAGAGATCTCTGTTTGTCAGAATCTTTGAATTTTTCGATAGCATCTTCACTTGCTTCAGGTAAAACGATTCTTCGACAAGAGAAATTCCGTCGGAATTCTTGCTTTCCAGCGAACACTTTTCATCGGCGGCGAGTTCTTTTCACAGAAACATTGAAAACTTTTTGTTCACGAGCGATTAATACCAGGCGAAGAAATCTTGCATCATTTATTCATCGCAGTTAATTACTTGGAAAGTTTGGATAGAGTACCGTCTCTTTTTTTTCGTAGCTTTTTAATTCATCTCTTCGTATCATGTTGAACCAATTTCAAGTTAAAATTTTTAATAAAAAGTTCACTCCGGATTAAATAAAGAATACACTTTTTTTAGTCTCTTTACATATTCTCCTCAAACTTATTATAACAAAATGATCTCTGGACTCTTAATCGCTTAATAATACAAGGGAAGATATAATAGTTTAAGGGAAGACCGATCGGTTCGTAAATTCATACACGTGATGAAATGCGGAGAATTTGGGATGCTTGTACGAGGTTAATAAAAAAACCTACTATGGCCTTCCCTTCCGCGGGGATCAACTGGTTAACCGGCCTGGCTTATGATTTTGAAAGAGGGTTGGAACTGAATATACATATAACGCACGGTTGAGAAGTCGCTTTCTGTACGCATCTCGCTATAAACGGCTGGCATTTTTATGCGCTCGAGTATGTCAGGAGTTTATGAAATGAGGTCATTGTTACAGCGCGCGTTTCGTGCCGGAATAGATGGTCGGATAGATTAAACAGCGTGGGCGGTAAGTTGTTGAGGGAGGTTAAAGTAGAGGGAAGATCCAAGGAGCGAGATTCCATTCGTGGCGTCGTCGGATCGTTCTCTTTGGATTCCGTGTAATTACTCGTACCCTCTTTTAAAGACACCGTTAATGAATAATAAACGTAATTGGCTCTTCGTTAAAATAACCAGCCAACCCCGTAAACTTAATTTAACCGGGCAGTAACGCGAGTCATTCTTGCGTTTTCGAGATTTTACGGGGACAGTCTAAATGTTGTTTCGTTCAACCTACTGTACAACCAGAACTATAAATCGGTTATTGGACGGACGCCGATGATCATGCCATGAGCACTCTCAAACCTGGAACGTGCCGAGGTGGAATCCCGTTAGCCAGAATAATCCGATAACTGAATGTATCCGTAAGTACTTAACCGCCATCGTGGCTCTCGGAGAGAGCCCGTTAATTCTCTATTATTATCGTCTCTTAACAGGGGTGGTATTAACACTGCTATTTCAAATCACGTTAAAAGAATTGAAAGAAACTTAAACAGAGTCTGAATGATTAAATGTATCAATTGTGATAAAAAAAATTACAAAACGCAAGAATCCGACATGAGTTATATTTATACATTGAAATTTTAATTCACGAAATTTCAATTATCTTTGCGTAATATTGCTACCTCTACATAAATAAAGTGATTAACAAAATACGGTATTAAATAAAGCACTGTCTGTTATTAATTTAATATTTAAATTATTAATATTTAAGATGACGTTATGGGAACAACATGGCTCTGAGCAATGGTAATTGATTTCTTGTCCCGAGTTTTCTATTGCGAGGGAATAAACAGATAACAAACGAAGGACATGATACTCTTGAAGCGCATACCCCTCTGAGGGATCATTGCGTCCAACTGAGGAAAATCGTTGCTTTCTGACAAGCGCGTGGGAAGCAGGCTCGTTTCGCTTCTCATTTTCCCTGAAAGAGAGACAGTACGAATCCCATCCGCCTCGCTTTTGTTTCGCGCAAGGACAGAGTTCATCGATCCCCTGAAAAGGGAACGCGAGCTAGCGAGCGAACAGACGGACGGGGGAGAGAGAGCTGGAGCGATAGGTGTTTTTGCCTTTCACTCTTGACGAGAAAATGTTCCCGACCATTTGAGGTACTCGTTTCTCTTCACACACATCTCTTTCTACGAGAGCTCCGCTTGCTAGTCCCCTTTTGCCGAGGCGGTCGTGCGCGCAAAACCATCTCTTCTCTCCTCCTCGTCAGCTGCCATACGTTTCTACTTATGGCTCATTAACGTTTCATGAAGATCGCGGAGCAGGCACGTTAATTCACATAACATGTAATTTAGATTAACATCGTATCGGCTGATGTATATTCGTGCCGCAGATTTCATCCCGCAAACTCGAAGAGAAGCAAGTTAGGAAAATCAAGTTGTCGAAGATAAGATTCCGCGCGGAGGAAAAAATTTTGCATAATTTCTGCGACACAAATTATTAATTTCACTGCGGGATCCGGTAAAATTGTTGACTGATAACGAGCAACAAGATTGTCGGCAAGTTATTCTTGCAAGTTCCCGAAAAGAGAAGCTGTGAAATTTTATTCATAAGCTTCAATTTTTCGACCTAACGAGATTCCACCATTTGTTGCCTAAAGAAATTCCAGCCCTCCAGAATTATTCAATCTATCCGGTCGAGAATCCGAGTACTTTCGAAACGTGTCAAATTGTATCTAGTCTGCTTCCTGTCTTCATGATTTACACGAGCTGAGCCAAGTTGAAACTAGTTTTTAGAGCCAACGTAAAATAACTTCACTTGGTCGTCTTCAATGTCATACGTTCCCCGAGCTCTCTTTTCATACGAAAACGAGTCGATATTTATGCGCGTCGCGTGTTGCTCTCATAAACCATATAAAATCCATTTAATTTTACGCGCAGTCGTAAAAATGCTCTTCGACTTGACGAAATAATATCTTCCGTATTTTACTCACATTCTAGCGTCGAACGGAACCCTAATGAGGGACATGAAAGCCTTTCGAAAATAGAATGAGATTAATCGATTAATAAAAATTTGAAAAAAATAAACGCGGGTTTTTTTCCGGAAAAAAATAAAAAATAAAATAAAAAAACCGATGCCGATATTTTATTTTGTACGATAAAAATTTATTTTACCTCCTAATTAACTATTCAAGACTTTTCTCGAGGGTTGCAGATTTCAAGTCCACGATTAAAAAATTCTCGACGAATTCTCGATTAAATAATAAAAGTAATTAAAAACAGGAAAAAATAAAATGATTGGACGTTTCTAAGAATTTTTCGCGAGGTCCTTTCTTACGCGAATATATAACAGTCTTCTCGAGCGATCATTCAAGAAGGGACAAAAGTAGGAGACAGACCTTCTATTCTCAATGTTCAATGATCATTTTTCTGTTTCATCTGCGCTACCTATCTTTCTGTCACTTTGAATGACACATCTAAGATGGTCTCATGGCTGAAATTCCGTGAGTTTTTGTAATCTTAAAAATCTAGAGAGAGAAAGGAAGATCAAAGGTCTTAGATGAATCGATTGAGATCTCTAAGAGCGACTGACGACGATAAAACGCGACACCTTTCGTACATCAATTAATTTTATTAATCCGATTATCGGAAACTTACTCTCTCTCTCTCTCTCTCTCTCTCTCTCTCTCTCTCTCTCTCTCTCTCGAATCCTTGCATCGATAAGTCGGTAGAAGAGTGCAATTCTTTTACGGAACATTTAACTTACAGAAAAGAGATCCGCTCCGAGAAGCGCAATTTGATTTCCTTTTGTTCGCCAATCATTAGCCTCCTTAACTCCATCTATTTAAAGTCATCCATCTCGTTAAACCGCTTGTTCGCATCGCTAAAGGTGATATTCTCGTGTTTGCCATCGTAAAGAGAAATTTACTACATCATCGTTCGCGCGCAATTAAAGCTCCGAATCGGTCGATGCAAAATAATGACATCGATAAAAGTTATTTATTATTAATTAATGAAACTTCTTTTTTGTTTCGCGATACGTCAATGAAATGAATGTGTATATATTTAATTTTTAAATATATAAATTAAATTTAATAACAATTAAATAACAATTAATCAAGCAACAATTAATTTAGCAAAATTTCCAATTAAGTTGTCAAAGAGATATTTGTGTTGGAAATACAGAAATAAATAATAAATACATAATAAGCGTATATACTTGGAATAAATTGTACCATTATTGTAAAATGAACTTTTACATCTTCGGTAGAAAAATTCGAATTATTTCTTTTTATAACATCATTATCCATAAATTTTATTCCGTTTAGTTTCTGCGAAACATAAATCATACTGTTTCAATCCGGAAAATTGTTTAAAATTTTTTAATAATTGCTAACTTTGAAAGGCGTTGCTTTTCGCTTTTTTAAATGTTTAATTTCAATGTACGATGTTGGTTATTTTTATGAAATCTTTAAACGAAATAAATGAAAAATTTTAAATCACATCGAATTAGTTCTCCATTACGTTTTGACATCCAATTCTTCATATAAAAAGAAATGTCAATCAAGCTCCTCTTCTCTCACTCCAATAATACAGCGAACGAGATATGGATTATCTCAATGTTTTTATTGATACACTTTACAATGCTCGGACGTATAATTTCCTGACGATGACCCTGAGAATCTTTCCAAGTAACTGTCCTGGATAAGGGTAAGCGTCGGGAAACGAGTCCTTGTTTTCTTACATTTATTTAAAATTTCGTAATATTCGCTCTCGCGAAATATCGTCGGGGATTCGCGAATCGAGTTTATGAGATCCACTCGCAGAGAGACGTGTGTCGATGATGACGATAGGTCCTTTATTTTTGCCCTGCGACCAGTTGCATCTCGACGCTGCCAAGTCGTCCTCAGATCGTATTTTTTTTTTCCAAACAATTATTCTTAAATAATACCCGTCTCGGAGAGGACGTTTCGATAAAGAAATTGAGAGAAATATAAAGTGCGTATATATTTGGCGGAGATTTTTTTTTAAAGAATTAAAAACACACGTCTTTTCGCTAATCGCCAGATGACACCAAACACCAAATATCCTATAGACAATCGCCGAATCCGCCCCATTGCCGGTGAGAATTTGTGTCTGCAACACAGTAAACAACATTTAAATGTAAAGACGCAAGACGTGCTTCCGCGCAAGCTAGGATTTTCTAGGATCCTAGTGAAAATTTGCTGATCCTTTTAACATATTTATCTTTCGGCTTACACCTTCGCGAATTGTACTAATCGAGTGCAGTTCTCTCTGTTTCTCGTTCTCTGCAAAAGCTATGGAAACTTGGATTTTCTTCGAATTAAAAAAAATTTAAACAATGAGATTCGGAGATTTGCATGTTTTCGATTAGGACATCAAAAAGTTTCTCGGGATTCCAGACTTCGATTCACCATCCTCTGATCTCGACGGCGTAATTCCCGTAGGAGACGGGGAGGTTTCGAAAGTAGGCCGCGTCGTGAAATAAGCGGAAGACTTTTCTCGTCGAGAGAGCAAAAGAGGCCGGCTGGCGGGTGCTCTTCAACCCCTTGGCGCTTCTCGGCTATTTCCTTCCTCCTTCTTCCTTTGATTTAGCTTCTTCCCAACGCAGTCGATCGACCTTCTTCTCGTGATCGATCTGTGTGCATATCGCCGAATTTGCATGTCGTTGCGCTCATTAGATTGTTGCGCATAAAACGCAGGATTTTACAGAAAATATTCCAATAACTGTAACATATATTATTTTCTAGAGAAACTTCCTCGTAACTTTCTGAGTTTTTACATGCAGCAATGTTGAAGCGATGTTTGCCTTCGTTCAACAGACGTGATAAAAAATTAATAACTGAAAAATTCAATTCATTCAATTCTCTAATAAATTTCAATCAATGCTTAATTAATTTTACAACGTTATCCAAACGAGGTACAAATTGAATTTTATTAAAAAGATTACACATTAGCAAATGAAAAAATGATTGATATGTTACATTTAATATCAAAAATATACGTCATTAAAACGAATTGAACAATCTTTAATCATTTTAATTTGTAAAATTCCTGGATTATAATCGAATTAAAATATAAAATAAACCGTCCATGTAAAGGGAAATGTTTCAAGAGCTGCAAATATTTCTATTTCTTCGAAATTATTTGAAAATTATTATCGGTGCAATATCGAAACATGTGAGAAAATTAATTAATTAATTAAAGCTATTTTGTTTATTTCGAATGCCTTTTTGTAAAATTCTATTTCTGTAAAATTCTATTTTTCCATAAAAATGTATGTCAAAAAATTTCATCTCAATTTATCTCGCTATATTTATACAAATGAGGAGCGTGAGACATTTTTTGTGCAGCAGATACTTTTCTGCGTACCAATTTATGAGAATGTCAACCCTCTATGATATACATTTCCAAATCCTTGCCAAACAATTTCCATTTATCACGTGGCAATGGTGACAGCTTTTTTCGCAACATCTTTAAAATTATGGCTGTCGACGTTCTTGTTATAGATTGAATCTGGGAAAATCAATATCCGCTTGGAAGCTTTTCAATGGCTAATTACGCGAAGCGAATACAAGAAGACAAGTATAATGTCGCGATTGTCAAAATACGCTGCGTGCAATTAAATCTCATTCCATTTCCGAGAAGAAACAAGCAAAATTATTCGCAGCATATTGTCCACTAAATCTGGATTTACATTGTTCGCATTTCTAATTAACATAAAGTAAACTACTAAATTTTTGAAATGCAAATGCTAACTCTAACTTGTTTAATCCATTTGTAATTGTGTTTCAAAAAAGTATACTCATGTGAAATGCGCTGAATTGAGAATTATTTTCAGAGTGTCAGACGGACGAGATATTAAATTTTCGAAATTAAGAAGATTAATACCATCAACCCAGAAATTCGCGTAAAGATAAAAATTCTCACTCTATAAATTTAATTTAAAAAATTACATTTATGCGGCAATCTTTTAAGCGGAAATCATAAATTTCCGCATAATAAAGACAGATATAAACCTTGAAAGCGATTAATTTCTCATATTTCGAAACGCTTCCCGATTTTCTTCAAATATTAGTAAAATATTCGTAAAATAAAAAGTAAAATGAAAGCACGATAAAAGCTGAGCAAACAGAAAATATATCCCGGTCCAACGCTGTTTATCGATAACGAATCGCGAATTGACACGCAAATAAAGCCGCTAATATCGCACGGAGCCGACTTTCCAAATGTTTTAGCCAAGATCGAATCGGAATATCGAATTACCGCCCCGTTGCATACACGATCTATTTGATTAAGATTTATTTGCACTAGAGCCCAGTGCTGTTTTTACGAGCTATGCCGTTCTCGAGGCGCCGACGATTACCAGAGATCGCTTATCCCTTTTATAAACGCGTCTCTCGTCCGTAAAATACGACATTTCCGTCTGGCTGAGCAGCCAAACAGCTCAGAACTGTCTGCTCGTGTCGTCGCGACCGCATTGTATCATTCCGCCATTTTTGTCCGGCGACACTCGATGTCAACGTTGCACACGACAGGACACGTATCCTCAGAGAATCACTAGGCTTCAATTTAACCGTATTCTGATAATTGACATGAAATCGTTACGAGGTCAACTCTTGCGCTATTAACTAAATAAATTTGATGAGATTTTTTCCGACCGATATTAAAGCTTTGAGAAATTAATTACGTGGTAGAAACTATTACGTCCTTCTGTTTACACAACAAGGGAGCCTAAATACGGGTCAATTCTGATGAAACTCTGCAATATCTATCGGCTTTCATCATCTGTTTGTTTAACGGACTGAAAAGCACAAAGGATTATTGATAATTCCGAATAGTTCGAATGAAACGGACCAGCTCGTGATTTTAGGCCGTTAGATTGTAAATACACGATCGATCACTATTAATTGTAATTACTATCGCGTGTGTAAATCGCCAAAATTGTATCCAAACGGAATGCATTCATCGTATCATTTTTCTCGTCCATCATATAAATCTGAGAAAGAGGAACAAAAAATAATAATTGCACTAAGGGATCAAAGAGTGACTCGTTACGACATAAAAGGACAACACGCACCATCAGTGTACAAAGAATGGTTAATTGAATTTTTGGTCCACCGTCAGTTTCCCCAGAAAACACCGCAGGCTGATTAAAGTTTGTTTGTTGGCCGCGACATGTCGTGATAATTTTTTTGTCCCAAAAAAGCCCTCAATATGAGCTGTTGTAAATGATGCACGCGTGGTGAAAAATAAATCAAAGAGCAAAGAGAATTAAATTTTGGTTAAGGTAATAAATCGTGCCCACCAATTTATCTGTCACACCGCAATAAAGATTTCGCATACGTCACGCGTGTCAATGTAGGACAAAACAATATGTATATCAATTTCGGAATAAAATAAAAAAAAGTTTTAGCATTTTTATTAACAAAAATGTAATATCAAAAGATCAATAACATTTAGAAAATTTACACATATGAATATTCATAATTAATATTAATAATTCCTTTAACACTCTCCGAGAAAGGATTGGTCGTAATAAAATAAATTCAGCATTGTTCTCCCACAATTAATTAAATTTGTCGTCAGTCATCCCCTCGTTGCATAATAACAATTTAGAGAATGTAAGATAAAAGCGAAGAATATTATTGTTATAAATTAATAATTTCCCCGTGATACGCAAATTTTATTTATGATTTTACTATCTGTCACATCGCAATAAAAATTTCGCATACGTCACACGTGTTAATGTAGGATAAAATAATATGTATATCAATTTCGGAATAATATGAAAAAAAGTTTTAGCATTTTTATTGACGAAAATGTAACATCAAAAGATCAATAACATTTAGAAAATTTACATATGTGAATATTCATAATTAATATTAATAATTCCTTTAACACCCTCCGAGAAAGAATTGGTCGTAATAAAATAAATTCTGCACAGCATTGTTCTCTCACAATTAAATAAATTCGTCGTCAGTCGTCCCCTCGTTGCATAATAACAATTATATTGTAAGATAAAAGCGAAGAATATTATTGTTATAAATTAATACTTTCCCCGTGATACGCAGATTTTATTTACGAAGACTCGCCACGCCCCATGCATTGTATAAAAAAACAATCACCACTAATTATGTCTAACAATGAGCGAAGTATTTTGATACTTTCTCTAGCTCGAGCAAGACAGCACGCTCGTGTAACGTAAGCGGAAGTTGTTTTAAATGAAAATTTTCCTCCCATTCTATCTGTCCGCTCTCAGCACTTTTACTCAACATTAATGCCTTGCGGTATTAAATTGCGTTTGTCGCTAAACTCGCACTCGTTCTTCTCTTTGCGCTCTCTTCGCACCTACCCTCTCATTTTCCCTGATATCCACGGGAAAGGGAATGGTACCCAGGATAAACTAGCTGTGAAAATATCACCGTGTTAATGGCAATGCGCCACGCTGAGCCCAGAGGGGGTGAGAAAAAGGGGAGAGGGGGTGGAAAGCAGGAAAGAGGAAAATTTTGTTATGCGCGCGTAGCGAGCCGAATCAGGAGTCAAGTAAATCGTGTAATGTCGTTAAGTGCTCCGGCACGATTCCGTTCTCCGTCATCACTTCCGAAGAAGAAATTTATATCGCGGAAAGGGAGAGAGAACGGGAGACAACGATAATGTAACGTGTTGCACCGCTAAAGATCCCCTAAAATCTCGCGAGATGGCCCGAATTAATCCTCCAGGTCGTAACGATGACATTAATCGTTACATCGGGTAATTGTGTCGTTCCGAAGATCGATACGATTAATAAACCGCGGAAATTCTTTAATTCCGAATCTCTGAGAAAGAAGCCTAACGAGTAAAAATAAAGCGAAGCGCTGAAAGAAGGGAAATATTCATGAATGAAAAAATTGTATATTGGAGAATAAAGTGTAATCTATAGTTTTAGATGTTATACTTTTAAACAGGGCGATTTACATGCAGACCGATATTAGATTCTCGAGGATTGAGGCTGAAGGAAGAAAATATCCGGTCTGTTGCGACAAAATAATTGCAATTCGTGAAACCTTCGAGTATATCCTTTAATTTAATTTATACTAATTATATTTTTATTTTCAATCTTTTATATATTTTTAATTTAATTAATATTAATTAAATTCTTATTCTCAATTCTTTTATATGTTTTCAATTTAATTAATACTAATTATATCAATCATTTCAAAGGATATCTCAAAGATCGAACACTTTGGTAGGTTATTGCATCAATCATTTCGCGAATAAAAAATAAATTTTAAAAAATGACAAAGACAGAATAATTTGTCCTCACCTCTAAAGAATATCGCCGCTACTGGCAGCTCTCGTTGTTCTCGTCGCTGGTCCCAGCCGATTGTTCTGCTCCGCGCGCGGCCTGCAGTAGATGATCTTCCGAAAGGCTTTGCGAAAATTATCGCTCAAGAAGGCGTATAGAAAGGGGTTGACGCAGCTGTTGGTATAGGCGAGGATATGGCTGACAATCTGCACCATTATCGTCGTCGTGGTGAGCGGAAACACGTCCAGGGACTTGCTGACCAGTATCACCTGCGACACGATAACGATAGGGATAACGTCGGGAATAAAGTGAGAAAATCGCCGAGGATGCTCTCCGATAAACGACAATTTTACCTGTATGGGACACCAACAGGCGGCAAAGACCCCGACGACGACGAAGACGAGCCTGGTGACGCGCCTCCTGCCGCGTCGACTCTCGGCGCTGACGCGGGCACCGCGCCACAATTTGATCAGCACCGACATGTAGAAGATGCATATCAGCACGAGGGGCAGCACGTAGCTCATGAAGAAGAAGGACACCTGGAAGGACGTCCAGTCGTACTGCGGCAGGACCCGACAGGCCGTCAGGTTCTCCGGTGGGCCGTCTCCCTCCTGGAACACGTAGCGAATCTACGTACACGGGAACTACGTAAGTGAACGAGAGTCCGCTCGAGGATACGAGTACGTTGCATCCCGCGTGCTTACCTCGCCGTGGATCACGAGGGCGGGAGCGGACAGCGCCAGGATCACCACCCACGTGACGCCAATCGCCAATATGGCATGATTCTCGGTCCTCCAGGACATGGAGGCGATCGGGTGCACCACCGCCAGATATCTGCGGACAGTTTCTCATTTCGACACGGTATCATCCAACTTTGTCATTAGCATAGCTTGAATTGCTAATCCGGTTTAACCGGGGTCCTCCGAGGTTGAACCTCGCCCTCGTTGCAGCAAAGTTTTATTTGGAGGAAAAACGAGATGAAAAACATCTCTCTCGCTTCTCGTTATTTTTTGTAATTTAGGATCAAGTTTAGATCAGTTTACGAGTTTAATCTATAAAAGTAATCCCTAAGTCGCTCAATTTTAAGAGACCCGGCCTTGCCCCGAAGATCAGCTGAAAATCATAACTCGCGGATAATCACTGGTTCAAACGGAGTACATATTTGCTTTCGGAGAAAGTTGGCGAAAGACGACGGAAAGTAACCGAACTTTCTTAAGTTAAGTTTAGTACTTCTTCGTTCTCATTTTGATTCAAAGTAGAATGTGGAGGATCGTTTAAGGGAGATCGATCGACTGTTTGCGCATGAATCTTTAACGTATTGTAATCAAGATGGATTGAGGAGGAATTGAACGCATCGAGGAGGTGATTCAAGGACCCCGTGGAAGAAGGGATAAAAACTTGGACAAGTTCGAGGGTGCGTTTTACATTTCTAAACGATCGCATCGCCATCCATCGAATCGATTCCTCGAATCCCAACACGTACATTGCGCGGCATCAGCGATTGATGTGATAATAATATTTCGCAGAATTGCATCTCAACTACCGGAGATTGAATGATTGGAATGTAACTCGCGTTGATTTAATTGAGTTCATACAACGTCCAGGCTCGATTATAGTCAGAGAACGCATCGCCGTGAGATATTGGAGTTAGACGGCGAATGTCTACAATAGTCTACGTCGCACTGAAACTGACGTGTTCAAATTACTCGAGATGAATGTATCAAACGAATATATTCTGCAAACTGCCGCGTAGCGAATAGTGATTCAAAGCTGGCGACGAATCGAATGTCAAATGCCCGAAGCACTTTACGATGCTATTGCGAATAATCTATGTTAAAGGCCCACGGATAAATATCCCGGATAAAAATAACGAAGGCGATTTCAAGAACAAGGGATAGTAGCATCAAGGAAAACAATTGCGTTTAATTGATGGATTTTATCGATGTATGTAAAATTAATTTTGACATAAACGTAAAAGAAAAAATGCAAATTTCTTTAGCTTGATAAAGATCATGGATAGAGCGTCTCTTTCTTTCTCTAAAAGGATTTACAAACTTTCAATATTATATAATTTCAAAAAATCTTCTTGTGTAAATTCGCTTCTAAAAAGATTGAACTAACAAATGCGATAAAAATACATAAATATTATTTTCAATAAATCCTCTTGTACCTACATTTTTTCCTAGCGATAATTTGGTAGACGTTTCCTAACGTGCATACGTTAATATTTAATATCCATAATTAACTTTTACTACAAAATTTAATAAGTAATTTCCTTTGCATTGTGCTAAAGCAAGATTCTCTTCTAATTACTCAAAAGGCATATATTATATATTTGGAGGATTTATCTCATATTTGGCTCAAAAGGCATATATATTTGGAGGATTTACCTCATATTTGGCCATATTAGAACAAAATGCCTCAAGTAATATGCATATCCTCTGAACTGTTAGTCTTTTGACCACATTTGATTATACAAGAACCTTGCTGTAATATAATTCAAAATGGTTTATCTAAGTAAATTGTATAGTAAAATCTAATAGTAAAAATTAAATTAAAAATATTAAATAATTAAATTAAATTAAAAATGTTAAATAATTAAAATTAAATTAAAAATATTAAATAATTAAATATCATGCAAGTTATAGAAAACAAATATCTAATCAAATTTTCGCAAAAAGAAAAAAAGGGTAGCTATAAGAAATTTGCTGAAATTGTATAAGAATAAGATATTCCACAAATCTCTCCAGAGGATTTTTTGCGTCTCTATTCTGATTATAATCTTTTTAATTCCATCAAGAAAGAAAATGGAATTTGTATTTTTTAAAAGTTGTTTATGTTTATGTCGGAATCAATTTTATCGATTATACGAAAGAAATGCTCTTATTTGTTGAAGGACATACATCCGAGAAAAAAAATAAGAATATGAATTTCAAATTATTTGTTTCGCGTCTAAAGCATTCATTTTTAAAAAGATTGAGATAATAAATGCGGTAAAAATACATGAATAAATGTAAGTCATTTTCCGCCCAAAAAAAGATGAATTGCTATCCGCGAGAAATTATCTTATAAAAACAGATGCGCCTTCGTAAAAGCATTTCCGCGTCGTAAAGTGACACGTTTCAAATATTCAAAATTATCAGTATATCACAATATTTATATTTTTATACGATTGTACCACCGATCTCGCTCCAATAGAGATGACAAATGATATTTACGAAAAAATTACAAATTCTTTTCTCCTCCAGCAGAAAAAAATGTTATACAAACGACCATTTTTCTTCGTCTCGAAATAAAAATTGTTTAGCTTTCTGTTAAGAATAGCTCAGGTTTTGCTCGTACAACTTATATATATATCATTTATTTCACACTTGTTGACAGGTACTTGTGGACACATCCGACAGTTTTATATGAAATATTATCCGCCAAGCATTTCCCGCAATACAAGCATGGTCTTTGAAGAATTTCCCAAACAATTACACCGATATGCGACGGTTGATTAAAATCGGAGGAATAATTTTAACGTACCAACCTGTCGAGGCTCATGAGGACCAGGGTGTAAACGCTCGCGTAAGCAGTGACAATGATCAGATACTGAACGATCTTGCACCAGACGTTGCCGAACGGCCAGTAGGGTAACACGAAATCGGTGGCCGTGAACGGTATACAAAATATGACGAATAGGAGATCGGCGATGGCGAGGTTGATGATGAGGATGTTCGTGGTCGACCTCATTCCGGGGTTCGCCGCCACCACCACGACCACCAGCGAATTCCCAGCGAGACCGAGGATACCGATTATGCCGAAGAACAGTGGCACCACCACCACGACGATGCTTTCGACTAGCTCGCGATTATAATCGAATTCGTATACCTCGCACGCGAATCGCAAGCTGCAGTCGGCGAGGGCGTCGCTCGCATTCGTTAGGTTCACGATCGTCGGCTCCATGTTATATACCTACGAGATTCGTCTCGAAATCCCTTCGATTATGTTGCGACGAGCTTAGGCCGGCCCAGCCGAGATAATAAAAATAGGAACTGTGTAAACATTACAGCGACGATAATCGAGTCTGCCTCAACGGGATCCTGATCCCGTCGCGAGGATCATCCTGCGGTGACTGTCGGCGACATCGGAGACGCCGAGAGTGTCTTTTTCCCTCGTTTCATTCTTCGTTCTATCGAACGGCATCGAGTTTCCACGATCGGCGATTTCGCTGGTGGACATCGCTCATCGCTCTTTCACTGTATCGTCTTTCAAATTTTCGCTTAAATTCTCTCAGAAAAAATCTCAAGGATCGATAAGATGCTGGAATGATAAAAAATCAATCGCACATGAAAAAATTAATATGATGCCTTCCTTCTTCTTAACAAGTTTTATTTTTTTCTTCAAATTATTAAACATGCAAATGAAAGCGTTGATCTTGATAATAATTTTATTTATTCATTTTATATATGTCTAATTTATATTATGGTAATTGTGTAAAATTCGCCACGTGTCAATTTTTTTATAGAATTTTTTATGGAAGGAATATAATGTCACTAATAATGGGAATTTTTTGATCGAGAATCTAAATAAACAACCTGATTCGTATGCTTGTCAAGACTTATTTATCGTCCACTTGAATTTGAGGAACTAGAGTTTGCCTTAATCACATGCCATTCGTTTGTCGATGTAATGGTCAGCTGTGTTGAACAAATTGCTCATATATTTGTACAATAATGTCAAATATTCGCTCAAACAAAAACATGTTTCTTCAGCTTAACTCATTATATTGTTGTAATCTGCAATTCAATTTTTTCAATTATTTATCGCATTATTAATCTTCTTTATTGTAGTTCCACTCTCTCAGTTCCATATGATGTACATTACAAGTTTCACGATATTTTATTGAATTCCGAAGAATCTCGCGATGGAAAATTAAAAAAACACTGCACTGATCACTGAATATTGAAATAACGTGCGATCGTTGAATTCCATACATTCGCCGTCAAATTCTTCAACTCGGCGAACTAAAACTCGACGTTTTGCGATATCTCGCCTTTCGCATCGAGTCGTTTTCTTTATTAATACAATTTTCTAGAAGACTACAATTTTCTGCATACTTTGTCGATAATCGCGCCGAATCAACGAGATCGAACAATCGCGGCAAATCGAGATCGAGAGCTCACTCTTTTCCTTCCTTCCCGATGCAAAGCAAAGTGCGAGCTTCAATGACTATGCTTCAATGAAGACTCGAGGAGGATTCAGCCTCGGGCCGTCGCAAGTTGCACATCCGTGCCAAGTTTGTCTCGACAAAGTTTGTTGTAATCGGTCGAGTCTGAGTTTGCGAGGGGTATCGTCGCGCGCTAACCGATAACGTCAGCTCCGGGGGTGGTTTTGCACTGAGAGGCACCCCGATACGGCGCGGCGCGACGCGCGGCCAGGAATGGATGGGGCTTGGTGTAAGCGTGAACGACGAGGGATACATTCGCGGCGCCATCTGCTCTATATACATATATATGTATATGTGCGTGTGTGTGTATACACATACACAAAAACACACACACACACAGACACATAATCAAGTCGATGCCGAAATAGGGGGTTGCTTACATACGTAAGACACTCCAACGCACGAGATAAAGCGTAAGATATATAATATTTATTTAGGAGGAGAAAACAGAAAAAGAGAAGAATATTTGAATTCTTGAATGATGAGAGCAAAGCTCTGAAAGGAGAACGATTTTTGGAGGAGGAGAAATAAAAAAGGAAAAAGAAATTATTGCGAATCTAAATATTAATGACTGCCTTTCCCTCGCGATTTATTACCAAATCACTCTTTCTTTTTCTTCCTCTCTCTCTCTCTGTAATTATATTTTCGTAATAAATGTGTCTAGGGACAATGCGATGCTTGTTTCGATGAAAAATTGAAAGCTTTAGAGAAATTATGTAAGCGATATAGAAAGGATACAGCGAATACAGAAAGGATTGAATTATCTGTTTACCTTTAAGCTCCGTCTATTAAAATCATATTTCATTATATTATTTTTTAATGAAGACTTAAGATGTTTGATATTATGTTTGATTTGATGTTTTTCAATTATCAATATTGGTTAATATCTATCTAGAAAATAAAACATTATTAAATAAAATATGACAAATGAGTATAAAAAATATAATATTAAAATATTAACAATCGTATTTAAATTATAATTCTGGAACATTTTATACATTTTTATACAGGGTCTTCAAAAAGTCCTGGAACTAAAATATCTCGAAAACGATCAATTATAATGAAAAATATGTAAGAAACAAAGTTGTAGGACTAAATAAAATGTACCTAATGATGATAAGAATTTGACTTAGATGAAATACTCACGGTCATATGCAGGTCAAGTTGATTTTTTTAAATAAAACTTTCTATTTTTCATTACTTATTCTCGTAGCTTATCTCGAGAACTTTCCAAAACACTGTAATAAAGTATTTCTTCATTGAATACTTTTCGAATTATGAGGCTTGAAATAATTTCTTAATTTTATATAAACCATATAATATCTAATAAAATATTCATGTTTCGATTATCTTACCTTAATACTTTTATGTACAAAACAATGAGAGGAATCAATTGGTGTAAAGGAAAAACATAGTTGTTTAAAAAAAAATATGTAATTGCAAATTACATATTTTTTTTTTAAAACAATTATGTTTCTTCTTTATACCAATTGATTCCTCTCATTATTTTGTACATAACCTTGAGTACTTCATCCAAGATCAAATTCTTATCATCATTAAATATATTTTATTTAATCCTACAACTTTATTCCTTATATATTTTTCATTATAGTTGATCGTTTTCGAGATATTTTAGCGTTCCGGGACTTTTTGAAGACCCTGTATAATTATGAGGAATATTCAAGTCAAAACTGAAATTTAATTTTTAGACAGATAAAAAGACAAAACTATATGACTAGTAAAGAACATTTATTTTCAACGTAATCTTCATGTATATCACAGCAATTATCCCATCGATATACCGACATATTAATTCTGACGAAATAAAATACTTGCAAACCGAATATTTTCAGGACGTATATTGATTTTTTACCAAAAGGAATCACAATAACAAATATTATTATGTTGTTTAGATCTGTTTGGTTCATTAAAGAAACACTTGGACGGCAAGTGATTTCAATTGGAAAATAAGCTTGAAACATATGTTGCAGTTCAAGACAAATTGTTTTTCAAGACAAATTCTGTCGATATTATTGCATTGGTACATCAATAAGATAAACGCTGATATAGATGGAGATTACGTTGAAAAATAAATGTTCTTTACCAGTCATAATTTTATCTCTTTACCCGTCTAAAAATTAAATTCCAGCTTTGACGTGAATGTCCTTCGCGTTTATATTAATTTACGTTGATTGAAATAAATGTATTCGTATAATTATTTGCATTGAATTTATAGAACTATTTATAGAAATCTATTTTTTTCCTTGATAATTCAAAGTATTAATATTCTTGCAAAAATATCAAATAATAATAATATTAAATATAAAGCCATTTTTCTAACTTTTTCTAACTTTTTTTAACAACTTTAATATTAAAAGCTTCGTCTGAAAAATATCGAGTCCATTCGAATCCATCTCTGCTGAATATCAATTGCTGAATCATTAAGCTTCACTTATTTTATCTCCCTCTTTTTCTACTCTTATCTAAATAAATAATTGCATTATATATTTGTTATTATGTATACACACATCTATCATACATTTTAAATAGTAACGAACAGAGAGAGGAAGGATAGAACAAAGCAGAGAGCAACTGATGCTTTGACATTCAACAGAGACAGGTGCGAATGCGAATTCGATATCTATCAGAATTATATAGATATTCATAAATATTCATAGATATTCATTACATAGATATTCATTATACCATTTAAATGATTGTAATAACTTTACATTAAGAAATAAATTGTACATGTTTAAATCGTACATTTTACAATATATCGAATAAATAATATTAATAATAATAATTAATGTTAATAATTACACAATAATTGTCATTATTTATTTCAATTGTTATCATATATATAAGCATATAAAAAAGTTCATTAGCTGTATATCCTATTTCTACAGAATTTGAACATTATCCTTCATTAAAATTGAAATTGTAACTTAATTAAAAAGTTACTTGACATTGTAAATTAATTTTACAGCCATTTTAGATTAACTTACTTCTCGTTTAAGTGAAAATTTCCTTAATAGGATTAATTATATATTAATAATTATATTATTTAATAAATATGTATTTGTTATATGATTGTGTATCGAACGTATATATATATATATATATATATATATATATATATATATATATATGTAATTGTGTATGTTTAATGATTTCATGTTTCATTTGACGATTTTATTTCTTCACAATAGTCTTACCGTAATATTTTTTGAAGAAACATTCATTTATAATTTTATGTACAATTAAAGGTGTAATTTAAAACTTTTTAAAATATTTTATGTTTATAAAGAACGAAGATTGCAGATCATAAAGTATACTTATTAAATCATGATGCTTCTAATTATATATCGCGACAAGGGGAGATGCAAGCTGCGTCATCTGTTAGTTACTTGTGTCCAAATATCAAATATGCTTATCAAAAGTCGGCAAAAACAAGAACTCGAAAAGTGGACCGGTTATAAATTTTTATTCAGACAATAAAATTTTAATCAAATTAATTATTAAATTTAAATATTATAAAAATAAAAGATAAACAAAATTAAAGGCTCTCGAAATTAACAAATTAAAATAAAATATAGTAAGAGGCCATAAAGAGCCAACGCAGTTGTAAGGCGTTTTTTAAAAATCCTTTATTGACATCCGTTTGATGTCAATAAAGAAGAAAGATCGTTTAATGTGATCGTTTTCATGGATAATTTTTAAAAAACGCCTTACAACTGCGTTGGCTCTTTACGACCTCTTACTATATTTTATTTTAATTTGTTAAATATTATAATAAATATTATAACTGTTAAATTTATAATTATATATATATATATATATATATATATCATTTTGTAAATCGAATTACATATATAAATTAATAGATTAACTCAATAAAATTAGTTCAAGCTAATATGAGTTTTCCTTGTTTAACATTTGACAAAATTTTACCATATAATTTTCATTTTATCACAAATTTTATCAAATTTTATCATAAAGTCACTTTCGAGGTCTCAATTATTTTCATCAACAGTAGTTTTTTCTCCACAAAAAAACTTATATTACAAACAAATGATAACAGATTTAATAATCAAGTGAATTTGCCGATGCAATCAGCTGATTGCCAATTAACCGCTCGAAATACGCTCGCGCGAGCGAGGTGTTTGACATGTCAAATCACATCGACTACCTATTACATGCGACATCCAGATATCGCCTTAAATTTTTTGAATTTATTGATACTTGCAGAAAAAGAGCTTTTATATTCTCTAGCTAAAAATATTAAATTAAAACTTAAATAATTAATTAGATTAAATAAAACTCAAAACCAAAATAAATATATTTGTATAGAGTGACTCGCATATAAATTGTGAGCACAAAAAAAAACATTGTGTCCGTCCTTTCATTGCGTTGTAATATATAAACTCGATATTCGTGAATATATATATTGCAGATTCTATCTATAGCATTTTGTCTTGTGCTTATATTTGATGAACATATAATATATTCTATATTAGAAGATATAATGCTTATATTTGATGAACATATAATATATTCTATATTAGAAGATATAATGCTTATATTTGATGAACATATAATATATTCTATATTAAAAGAATATATTAGAATATATTATATGTTCATCAAATATAAGCACAAGACAAAACACTATAGAGAGAATCTGCAATTTCAAAACTTTAATTAATTATATATTTCATTTATTTTATTAATTATATATTTTATTAATACATTTTTTCTTATTTATTTATTTATATGGAGAGCAGCAATTTATATAATTGGATCAAACTTTTTGTAAAATTTTAAGATTTTTTACAAAGAGTACATTTTATTTTCAAATATATTTTATCCGCGAATATTCGTATCTCGAACGTTCAATCTGGAAATATGAATCATCAAAATTAAAAAACTTGAAACTAAACAATTGAACAGCGATTAAATAATCCGTATGGCAATGCAATCGCATGAACTCGTACCAAGCAAATATGAAATAGTTTGTATCCAGGCAACTCCTTCGAATATTGCAAAAATTGTAACAGAATAGATACATCAATTTATTATTAAATTATTCGAATTTGCGTCGCTACGTGTGTTTAAGTATACTATATTTGAGTATACTATATTTTCTGACTTATACTCTTGTCGTGTTTAACCAATAATTTCTACCACAAGTTTTATGCAATATATAAGACAAACGAATAGCTTGTTTATATATTCTAGTTACTTGAGTATTATCATGAAAGAATAGAACCAGTGCAGTACTCTTTATTTGATAACGAATGCAAAAAAATGTATTATCCTTTCAATGAGTCCGCCAAAGAGCTAAAAAATATATCTGGAAAATGTATTGGATATCGGTTCTAGTTCCAGAGACACATAACGAAGAAGATTGTTCTTCCGATTCTTGATCCAAACGGGCCAATGATTGGTAAGAAAAAATAATAAATCATAAACATATAAAAAAAGAAAGAACGTGCGCGCATCCGCGTACACTGTGTGCTATAAATATGAGTTAATACAACAATTATAATAAAGATATAACAATTATTATAAAGGTATAGATATTATGGTAAAAATGATTAAATATGCGAACAAGACAGTGATGAGAAACAACTCAAATTCGAAGTATTGGATATTGAACATAAACGTTTGCCCGAAAATGCATTTCAAAATTTGATCATATATTTTCCTGTTTCATACATAACAAAGTTGATCATGATATTCGGTAAGAAAAATTATTAAATTAAAAGTATTGTTTTCAAAATGGATTGTCTTTTTTTCATATCATTTAATATATAAATATTATTATTTTCATATTTTTTCATATTTTTTCTATTATTTTTATATTTATTTATGTATTATTTTATATATAACATTATTATTATAAAAATTTTTTTAAAATAAAATAAAAAATAAAAATAAAAACAAATATATAAATAAATATAAATAAAATAATATATAAATAAAATAATATAATATAAATAATATATAAATAAAATAATATATAAATAAAATATAAATATAATTTTTTCCACATTTTTATACATTTATTTAGTTTAGTGAAACTACAGTAGAAAATGCTCTTTTTAACTACTATTTTAAAATATATATAAAATTATGGCTAAAATTATATATAAAATTAAGCAGCGTTACAGATTTTTTTTTAAATAAACATTCTTTAAACTCTTTTCCGTGAAGATCTGGTTAAGAATCGGAGATGTTAATGAAATGGTAATGTAATGTCAAATTATGCGAATATAATTGAACGTTGAACGTTGACGGAATTAACCGAAAATTATGCACTGCCTTTATCGCATTTATCAGCATACATATATTAATATAGATATGTTAATATGTCCATACTTAGTTACGTTTTCTTTAAAAGGCTTCGTCTATCTATTCAAATGTTATTTGTTCTTTTTTATTTTATGAGATAAAGAGATAAAGAGTCTCTCAATTTTAAAGAAAACGTCTACTATTGGTTATTAAGCTCGTATGATTCTCACGAGCCAAATATCGTCTGACAAATAAATAGCGCAACTGGAGCACTGGATCAGTATTACGTATATAGTGAGCCTGTGAAATTTACAACAAATAACATCGGTGAATATACATGATCCGTGATAAAGTCGAAATCTGAAGAGAGTTTATATACTTTATTTATTTAATTAATTATATATTTTATTAATACATTTTTTTATTTATTTATTTATATGAAGAGAAATAATTTACATAATTGATCAAGCTTTTCTGTTAAATTTTAATATCTTTTACAAAAAGTATATTTTATTTTCAAACATTTTTCATTCCCGAATATTCGTGCTTGAACGTTCGAGCTGGAAATATGAATCAGCAAAATTAAAAAACTCGAAATTAAAGAACTGAACACGCGATTAAATAATAACAATGCAATCATGAATTCGCACGTAGAAGCAAATACGAAAAAATTTTTATCCTTCTTCGAATATTTCAAAAATTGTAACAGAAGAGATACATCAATTTATTATTAAATTTTGAGTTTGCGTCACTACATATGTTTAAGTATATTGTATTCATCTTATATTTGTCATGTTTGACGAATAATCCCTATCACATATTTTATTTAATAATTACATGCTAAGTGATTAATATCCTACTTATTCTAGTTATCTGAATACATCGTGAAGTCATGGTAGAACCAGCGCAGTACAGTTTATATGATAATGAATGCAAAAAAAATGTATCATCTTTACTCAATGAGTTCGCAAAAGAACTAAAAAATATATCTGGAAAATGTATGGATATTGGTTCTGGCCCCGGAGATATAACGAAGGAGATTCTTCTTCCATTTCTTGATTCAAACGCGACAATAATTGGTAAGAAAAAATAATAAATTATAAAAATATACAGAAGGAAAAAAAACGCGCGCACATATATACTGTGTGCTGTAAGTATAAGGTAATACAACAATTATAATAAAGATATAAAAATTATTATAAAGGTATAGATATTATGGAGAAAATGGTTAAATATGCGAACGAAACGTACGGTGATGGCAAACGACTCAAATTCGAAGTGCTAGATATTCAAACTAAAAGTTTGCCCGAGAAATACATTTCGAAATTCGATCATATATTCTCATTTCATACTTTACAATGGTGTAATGACATTCGGTAAGAAAAATTATAAAATTAAAAGCATAAATTAGTCTTTCCTTTGTACCAAATAACTTTTATATGACAAAATTTAAATAAAAATAAACTATTTGTAATAAAATCTCCTATTATCAAAATAATAAAAAAAAATTATAGAAGGCTAAAGAACTATGCTAAATTCATATATTACATTAAGAATAATTATTGATAGTTTGAACAACTTGATCCTTTACCTACCGGGAAATAAATAGATATATATTTTAATTAAAATTATATTTTTATTCGATTAAATTAATAACAGCATCCTTTCTTTTACATTTTAACAAAAATTTATAACACATCAGATTTAGATTTTTATTATTATATTTATTTTTCGATATATTAGGATGTGACATTATGTATAATATTTTTTATTTTGCAATCAATTGTAATACTGAGGATGGCCAAACTAATGTATCGAAACATATGTTTTTATTCATATATTTAATATGTACAATATTAATAGATAAATTTAGCACGGAAACATTTTACGTATAACTCTTCATTATAATTGTTTTCTACTATTTTTATATGACTTCACCAATATACTTTTCTATACATAACTGTGTTTCAAAAGAATATTCTAATAGATATATTTTAATAGATGTATATTTTTAAAATTATAATTAACAGTTTAATTTCGCTATTTAACAGCCAAATTTTTAAAAATATTTATTGTATGCTTCGACCTGGTAAAACTATGCTTATATTAAGCATAGGGCATCACAGAATGCTTTTTGAACCTCTGAAAGTTATAATGCAAGATGTGCGATATGCATCATACATGAAGGTATATTATTATATCATTATTATTATCAAAAATGCAGTACAAGAAAAAAGATTGTACATTAATTTGCATATGGGTAAAAAAATGTCGTTTTTACGAGTGTATACATATATGCGTAACTAACTAAAAGATTTGATTGCAAAATTTTAAATTCTAATTTATTGATGTAGGATTACTATAATAGATAGAATTTATTATCTTCACTTTATTATCTTCAGTGAAAATAATGATATCGCGACTATCAAATGTAACAGTTTGCAATGTACTCAGCATAATTTTTAAAATTGTTTTCTATATATATTATATATTTATCTATTACATTCTCGAAGTTCATTTATAAATTTTACTAATAGAATTAACATATACAGGACAAAAGCAAATATACTGGGTTTCACGATTCAGTCCAACCTGATAAAGAGCTGAAAGAAATACTTGAAAATATCGGATTTCAAGTTCAACATTGCAGTCATCGAGAGATAAACAGTTTCCTGAGTGCAAAAAAGTTTGTATGTAAGTATTTTCTCTTCATATGCATTCAAAAATTAAATTCTACACTATGTGATTAACATTCGTATCATGGATGTATTTCATATTATGTTTTTCCTTATTTTTTTTAATTAAAAATTTTCTTTATTGTTTATTTCAACAGCCATGGTTATCTCACAGCACAGTTTTGCATTTTTGGAGCAGTTGCCGCATAATCTAAGGATAGAATTCCAGAGTGAATACACACGTATATGCAAGGAAATTCAAGATAATGAATACAAAAGTAAACAAACTAATGATGAGCTACATGACGATAAGAAAAAGAAGGATCCTCTTAACTATACTGTGCTAGTAGTTTATGCACAGAAGAATGTTTTATAATTGTATCAGTCTATGGTGGAAGTTAATCTATTATGGAAGAAAAAAAATCGCACGCAAACTATAAGCAGCGTTATTTTCAGATATATTAAAATATCTTAAATAAAGAAAAAAATGCAGTTTTAAAAATTAAAATAAAAAGTGTCTCTCTCCAACTCTGACATCACAGTCTCTATTACATCACAATCTCTATTATGCATAATTACATATACACACATCTTTGTTGCATGCGAAATAAGAAAAGGTTTAAAACATATTTTTTGATTTAAAATATATTCAAGACACGCTTCTTTCTGTTATTATGTATATTTCAACATTTCTTGTTAAAGTTTCTATTTTCAATCTATGATATCCTCATCAGTACTTTGCGGATAATAAATGAATTTACATATGCATTCCTTCCCTCTTTTTTTCTCTCGCATTCGCAATTTATAATATTTCATGTCACGCTTTTTCACAAATAATCACCAATATGTAACATTACTTATGTGCACATCTGCAAGATATTAAAGTGGTCGGACTTGTTTTCATATGCATAAAGCGTAGGAAAGCCAGAATGCTACAGTCTCCATCTACTTCACAGTTCTTCCTAAACAAACTTTCACCTAAGTTTTTATAAATCGCAATAATTGGTATAGAAGTCGCACAATCCATATGCAAAAAAGAAAGATTCATTCTTGTATTACTGATAATGCAAGTGCATTACGTAAATTTACATGTAGTAAAAAATATTCCTGACGATCTATATTAAAGAATCTGTACTTTCTCTTTGCGTTATTTCTAAAACAGCCGATTACGTAACAGCACTTATATGCTTGCAAGAATTTAAAAAATCGCTATATGTACACAAATCGATTTTTACATAAAATATCTTAATACTATAAATCATCAGTATATTATTAGATACGCTGGATAAAAAGTTTATTTTTCATAATTACGCATATGCTGTAAATTTGATAAGTAAATGATAGAAGAATCTTCAAGCGTGAATAATTAACTATCATCTATATTCATTAAGCAAAAAGGTGCATTTTCAAACATTTTTCACGAATATTCGTATCTTGAACGTTTAATCTGGAAGTATGAGTCACTAAAATTTAAAAGAAAATTAAAAACTCGAAATTAAACAACTGAACAAGCGATTAAATAATCCGTATGATAATGCAATCGCATGAACTCGCACATACCAAGCAAATGAATGAAATAGTTTGTATCCAGGCAACTCCTTCGAATATTGCAAAAATTGTAACAGAATAGATACATCAATTTATTATTAAATTATTCGAATTTGCGTCGCTACGTGTGTTTAAGTATACTATATTTGTCTGACTTATACTCTTGTCGTCTTTGACCAATAATTTCTACCACAAGTTTTATGCAATATATAAGACAAACGAATAACTTGCTTATATATTCTAGTTACTGGAGTATTATCATTTAAGGATAGAACAATAGTGCAATACTCTTTATTTGATAATGAATTGCAAAAATATGTATTATCTTTAGTCAATGAGTTCGCCAAAGAGCTAAAAAATATTTCTGAATAATGTATGAATATCGGTATATAATTTCCGGAGATATAACGAAGGAAATTCTTCTTCCGTTTCTTGATCTAAATGCGACAATAATTGATAAGAAAAAATAATAAATTATAAAAATATACAAAAGAAAAAAAAACGCGCGCACTCACATACACTGTGTGCTATAAATATAAGTTAATATAACAATTATAATAAAGATATAACAATTATTATAAAAGTACAGATATTATGGAGAAAATGATTAAATATGCAAATAAAACGTACGGTATTGAGGAACAACTCAAATTCGAAGTGTTGGATATTCAACAGTTATAAAAGCTTGCCCGAAAAATGCATTTCAAAATTTGATCATATATTCTCTTTTTTCATACTTTCCAATAGTGATCATAATAAAGTATAAATTAAGCATGATAAAACATAAATTAATTTCTTTCAAAATGCATTTTTCTCCAAGATATGACGGGTCAAAGTTCGCATTGTTTATCAAGTACATTATCCACTGCACAATAAAATCTACATGCAGAAAATAAGGTCATGATAAATTTCATGATGAATAAGATCATACACATATACCTACATATGTGTGTGTGTGTGTGTGTGCGCGCGCGCGCGCGCGCGTGTGGCTCATACTCTTTTTTTCATACTTTCCAATAGTGATCATAATAAAGTATAAATTAAGCATGATAAAACATAAATTAATTTCTTTTAAAATGCATTTTTCTCCAAGATATGACGGGTTAAAGTTCGCATTGTTTATCAAGTACATTATCCACTGCACAATAAAATCTACATGCAAAAAATAAGGTCATGATAAATGCCATGATGAATAAGATCATATACCTACATATGTGTATGTGTGTGTATGTGTGTGTGTGTGTGTGTGCGCGCGTGTTCATACTCTTTTAATCCGCACCCCAAATCGCGAGAGGCACGGAGACTCACGCTAATCAAGCACCATTTGAAATGGATCAGAACAGTTGATATGGACAATGCACAATGCGAACTGACCCCTCATATCTTGAAGATAAAGAATGGGTTCAATCTGAAACTTTCAGAAGATCAATGTCTTATATAACTATTGTTTAACACTAAATTCAAGTCGGATTTCAAGGGTGGCGAAACAAGCGATTTTTGGTGTCACTCTTTTATCTATTAAATTAATTATATAATTTATTAATACATTTTTTTATATATTGTGACGTTGCCGTCTTTATGCGTGTTCATCCGCCCAGAAAATCTTCACGGGCCGAGCGACCGCGCCAGAAAAAAATTGCGAGAGCCGTATCGAGATCTCCGGAGAGACGAGCGATAATTGATATTTCGCGTCTTTAATAATTATTTTTTTTTATGTATTATTTTGTACTTAGGGCAACCCGCCGGAAAACATCGGGAAGAGGACGAAGAGAAATCTTTAGCGATAACCGACACAGCACTTTTCTTCCAACCACCAATTCGAGCGCGAGGATAGCCCAAGAATCTCCAAGTCGAAATAGCGCAGGATCCCGGGTGGCGTTCGCCCTCGGCCGAAGAAGAAGGAACCTCCCCCGAAATGGCTACCTATGCCCGAAATTACGCGTCCGGGACGATGCTAATCTTCGCGGACGGTAGCTAGGGATCAGCTAAAGAAAACCGCTGATAAAAGGGTTACCTAAAATTAGTCGATTTAAGGATGTTTTGTATGTACAATTCCAGCAAAAAGTAGCTGAAAATCAATATCTTTTTAACCAGTTAGTACTTGTATAATATTATTTGACCAAATATTTCCTCTGTATCTAAAGTTTTGCAAATTTTAAACAAATTCTGAATATTATTTCCATGTATTTTTGTCATTTGAATCGACATGATCATACGTTTCCCATAAGAACACATGTTAATTCGATGCAAATTAAAATTCTTATAACTTGTGAACGCTTTAGTAAATCGATTTAAAAATTGTACTGAAGATTCTAAACATATGTAAGAACATTGTGTACAATTTTCATTAAATTCTCAATATTTTGAAAATAGGTACAAAACATCCTTAAATTATCGGGGCCTTTACGACCCCCGATATGGCATTGTCGCAGGACGCAATGATATCTCGCATGTCGCGGCGCTATCGGCCGCGGATTTGCGCATGCAAGATTGACGTCATTATTGATCCTGGATCGCGAAATCGAGGCAGACACTCTGGTGCGGGCGCTCATAGCGTGTAGTAGCTACCTCTGTTTAGTCTCATTGTATCGCTGCCGAGATCAGACCGAGAGGACGGAGCCGAGGATCATCCCCTGTCTACAGGAGCGAATATCGGTGAGGTTGCCCATCTCTAAATTGTGAGCCACCTACGCGATCCCGTCCGCTATCCGGCCGTTCTGTCGCCGTCATTTCCGTCGCTGATCATTTTCGTGTTTCATTGTCGCTCAAGCTTTGCCCTGAGCTTTCGATTTTCGTGGATTTCAGGCGACTGGAGACAAGCGACCGAGGCGTCGAGAACGATTTTAACGTCGGTCTTAATTGATATGGAATCGTTCGTTTCTCTCCAGGATTCGGGGTGCGAGGTAAATCGCGGGAAATGCGTTCGCTATATGTGTTGTTGAAGAGGGTTGTTGAAGCCGCGTAAGACATCTCCGCAATCGACTTTGGAGCGGTGCATTAATTAGCGTGTATGTTTGAGCGTTGCGCGTCGTGAATTTGTGAGTATCGTTCCATCTCTATCGCGCTTAATTACGTCGTATGATCTACGTTTATTTTGTGGTATTTGTCGTGGGTGTGAGTGTGTCATGGTGCGTAATAAATTACGATAAATTGCGAGATTGCCGAAATTTGAGAGATTCGCGTAAGGTAAAGAGCGTTACGCCGAAAAGTAAAGTACAAGCGGCGTAAGCGGCATTCGATGGCTGTCGATTATCGATCGCATCGACCATGCTCGTCGCAAGCGAGGATTTCCGTCTTCGCAAATTAAGTCACTTTTCTCGCTCACTTATTAAGCATCCTCTCGAATCTATTGCTATCGATTAGAATAGCGAGTAAAAGAGTAAAGGAAAAAGGCCTGTACCATAAGTTGATGAATTGATCGTCGAATTACCGTTACATTTTTCGAAACGCCGTTCGACCACGCAAAATCTGGCCATAAAAACGATCTAGAAGAAGTATTATCGTGTTCTTATATTATTCTCGGGATCGCGTACGTGCTCACAATTTAGAGATGGACAACTTCACCGATACGCGCTCCTGTAGACAGGGATGATCCTCGGCTCCGTCCTCTCGGTCTGATCTTGTGTTTTTGACGACGTTTTCGCTCCCCTCCGAATCCTCCTCTCTAACATCCGAGGAGGATTGTAATAATAAAAAAAAATTAACGCCGCAATATATTTTATTTAATTAATTAATTACATATATTTCATATACCTTATTTATTTAATTAATTATATATTTTATTAATACATTTTCTTCCTATTTATTTATTTATATGGAAAGAAATAATTTACATAATTGATCAATAACATTATTATTATAAAAATTTTTTTTAAATGAAATAAAAAATAAAAATAAAAACATAAATAAATATAAATAAAATAATAATAATATAAATATAATTTTTTCCACATTTTTATACATTTGTTTAGTTTTGCGAAAAAATAGAAGCTGTTCTTTCTAACTATTATTTAAAATATATATAAAATTATAGTTAAAATTATATGTAAAATTAAACGATGTTAAAGATTTTTTTTTAATAAACACTCTTTAAACTCTTTTTTGTGAAGTCTTGATTAAGAATCGGTGATGTTAATGAAATCATCATGTAATGTCAAATTGTGCCGAATGTAGTTAAACGTTGGTGGAATTAAACAAAATTTATACACTGGCCTTATCGCATAAGCATAGATATATTATAATATTTATAAGCTTATCAAAAATGCATAAGCAAAAAGTAAGAAGAAGTAACTAATAAATATAGATATATTAACATAAATATGTTGATATGTCTACATTTATTAGTTATTTTTTCTTAAAAGGGTTATCTATTCAAATGTCATTTTTTCGCGATTTAAAGAAGACGTCTACTATTGGTCATCAAACTCGTATGATTCTCGCGAATCAAATATCTATTAACAAATAAATAGCGCATCTGAAGCACTGGATCAGTATTACGTGAGCCTGCGAAATTTATAACGAATAACATCAGTGAGTATATGGTCCGCAAAAAAGTTAGAATCTGAAGAGAGCTATATTAAAATATAATTAATCTCGTATAGTGCAATAATAATTGAAATTTAAAAGCATCGTCTAATTCATTATGTTTGCGCTTTCGTCCAATATTGTGCCAAAAAAAGAAGCATGTGTGTCGATCGTTTCTCGCCATCAGCCAACTTAGCTATTGCTGCTCTACAAGCGACAAATCAGCAGAATTAAAGAAAAATAAAATTAAGCTTGCTAACAAAGTGATTTTAATTCCTAATACACAGAATATATGTTCATCAAGTGCACGACAAAAAACACTATAGATAGAATCTGCAATTTTGAAATTTTAATTAATTATACATTTTATTTATTTAAATTATCTATTAAATTAATTATATACTTTATTAATACATTTTTATATATATTTCATTTAATTAATTATATATATTTTATATACTTTATTTATATTTAATTAATTATATATTTTATTAATATATTTTCTTCTTATTTATTTATTTATATGGAGATCAATAATTTACATAATTGATCAAGCTTTTTTGTTAAATTTTAATATTTTTTCACAAAGAGTATATTTTATTTTCAAACATTTTTTATTCTCGAATATTCATGCTCGAGCTGGAAAAATAAGTCAGCAAAATTGAAAAACTCGAAATTAAAGAACTGAACAAGCGATTAAATAATCCGCTGTGATAATGCAATCACGAATTCACACGTACCAACCAAATACGAAAAAATTTTTATCCTCCTTCGAATATTGTAAAAATTGTAACAGAATAGATACATCAATTTATTATTAAATTTTGAGTTTGCGTCACTATATATGTTTAAGTATATTGTATTTGTCTTATATTTGTCATGTTTGACCAATAATCCCTATCACAAATTTTATTTAATAATTACATGCCAAGTGATATCCTACTTATTCTAGTTATCTGAGTACATCGTGAAGTCATGGTAGAACCAGCGCAGTACAGTTTATTTGATAATGAATGCAAAAAAAATGTATCATCTTTACTCAATGAGTTCGCAAAAGAACTAAAAAATATATCTGGAAAATGTATGGATATCGGTTCTGGCCCCGGAGATATAACGAAGGAGATTCTTCTTCCATTTCTTGATCCAAACGCGACAATGATTGGTAAGAAAAAATAATAAATTATAAAAATATACAAAAGGAAAAAAACGCGCGCATATATATACGGTGTACTGTAAATATAAGCTAATACAACAATTATAATAAAGATATAAAAATTATTATAAAGGTATAGATATTATGGAGAAAATGGTTAAATATGCGAACGAAACGTACGGTGATGGCAAACGACTCAAATTCGAAGTGTTGGATATTCAAACTAAAAATTTGCCCGAGAAATACATTTCGAAATTCGATCATATATTCTCATTTCATACTTTACAATGGTGTAATGACATTCGGTAAGAAAAATTATAAAATTAAAAGCATAGATTAGTCTTTCCTTTGTACCAAATAACATTTATATGACAAAATTTAAATAAAAATGAATTATTTGTAATAAAATCTCCTATTATCAAAATAATAAAAAAATAATTATAATAAGCTAAAGAAACACGTGCTAAATTCATATATTAATACATTGACAGTAATTATTGATAGTTTGAACAACTTGATCCTTTGACTACCGAGAAATAAATAGATATATATTTTAATTAAAATTATATTTTTATTCGATTAAATTAATAACAACATCCTTTCTTTTAAATTTTAACAAAAATTTATAACATATCAGATTTAGATTTATATTATATTTATTTTTAGATATATCAGGATGTGACATTATGTATAGTACATTTTTTATTTTGCAATTAATTGTAATACTGAGGATGGCCAAACTAATGTGTCGAGATATATGTTTTTATTTATATATTTAATATGTACAATATTAATAGATAAATTTAGCACGGAAACATTTAGTGTATAACTTTTTAGTTCATTATAATTGTTTTCTAGTATTTTTATATGACTTCACCAATATACTTTTCTATATATAACTGTGTTTCAAAAGAATATTCTAATAGATATATTTTAATAGATGTATATTTTTAAAATTATAATTAACAGTTTAATTTCGCTATTTAACAGCCAAACTTTTAAAAATATTTATTGTATGCTTCGACCTGGTAAAACTATGCTTATATTAAGCATAGCGCATCACACAATATTTTATGAATCTCTGAAAGTTATAATGCAAGATATGCGATTTGCATCATACATGAAGGTATATCATTATATCATTATTATTATCAAAGATGCAGTATAAGAAAAAAGATTGTACATTAATTTGCACATGTGTAAAAAACTTCGTTTTTTATAAATTTTAAAAATTCGACGACTGTACATATATGCGTAACTAACTAAAAGATTTGATTGCATTAAATTCTAATTTATTGATGTAGGATTACTATAATAGATAGAATTTATTACCTTCACTTTAATATCTTCATTTTATTATCTTTAAAAAATATTGATATGGTAATTATCAAACGTAACAGTTTGCAATGTACTTAACATAATTTTTAAAATTGTTTTATTTATATATTATATATTTATGTATTACCTCGAAGTTCATTTATAAATTTCATTTCTAATAGAATTAACTTATACAGGACAAAAAAAAATATGCTGGATTTCACCATTCAGTCCAACCTGATAAAGAGCTGAAAGAAATACTTGAAAATATCGGATTTCAAGTTCATCATTGCAGCCATCGAGAGATAAATAGTTTTCTGAGTGTAAAAAAGTTTGTACGTAAGTATGTTATATGCATTCAAAAATTAAATTCTACACTATGTGATTAACATTCGTATCATGGATGTATTTCATATTATGTTTTTCCTTATTTCTTTTAATTAAAAATTTTCCAACTTTATTGTTTATTTCAACAGCCATGGTTATCTCACAGCACAGTTTTGCATTTTTGGAGCAATTGTCGCATAAGCTAAGGATCGAATTCCAGAATAAATTTACACGTATATGCGAGGAAATGCAAAATAAAGAATACACAAGTAAACAAACTAATGATAAGCTATACGATGATGAGAAAAAGGAGGATCCTTTTAATTATACTGTGCTAGTAATTTATGCACAGAAGAATGTTTCATAATTGTATCAGTCTATGATGGGAATCAATCTATTATGGAAGAAAAAAAAATTATTCACGACTAACCGTGCTGTAAACATAAGGTTATTTTTCAGATATATTAAAACATTTAAAATAAAGAAAAAAATATAGTTTAAAAAATTAAAATAAAAAGTGTCTCTCTCCAACTTTAACATTACAGTCTCTGTTATGTATAATTACATATACATTTTTGTTACATGCGAGCTAAGAAAAGGTTTAAACATATTTTTTTATTTAAAATATATTCAAGACACGCTTCTTTCTGTTATTATGTATTTCAACATTTCTTGTTAAAGCTTATTTCTGGTCTATAATATTCGCATCGGCATGACTTTGCGGATAATAAATGAATTATACATGCGTTCTTTCTCTCTTTTTTTTCTCTCACACTCACAGTTTATATAATTTCATGTCACGCTTTTTCACAAATAATCATCAATATGTAACATTACTTATGTACGCATATGCAAGGTATCAAAGTGATCGGACTTGTTTTCATATTCATAAAGCGTAGCCAGTTGAATGCTATAGTCTCCATTTTCTTCACAGTGTAAATAAATTCATTTAAGTTCTTATAAATCGCAATAATAGGCACAGAAGTCGCTCGATCCATAAAAGAAAAATTCGTCTTTGTACTACTGATAATGCAAGCGCATTACGTAAATTTATATAATATATGTAGCAAAAAATATTCCTGACGATCTCTTTGCGTTATTTCTAAAACAGTCGATGCAACAGCACTTATATGCTTGCAAGAAGAATTTAAAAAATCGCTTTATGTATACAAAACCATTTTTACGTAAAATATCTTAATACACCTTAAATCATCAGTATATTATACATATTGTATACGCTGGATAAAAAGTTATTCATAATTTTCATAATTATGCATATGCTGTAAATACAATACGTAAATGATAGAAGAATCTTTAAACGTGAATAATTAATTATCATCTATATTCATTAAGTAAAAAAGTGCAATAAAAATGACTTAATCAAGATACAATGACAAGTTAATTCTTCAAGTAAAACAATTTCTTTTCCTCTCATTAAATTATTTTTGTTCTTAGGCTATAGTTTTCTTAATTGTGATATAAAGAGATAGGGACAGAAATTCTTATAAAATTGGATTATGCATGGACATCAAGAAGCAGATTTCGAATATTCACTGTAAGTCAGCCGCTCCTCGGGCGATCGGGACGAGATTTAAACGGTAGTGCCGCGAAATGGTGTAGAATTTTATGCAAAAAGAACGAAATCGCTATCGCGTCCGGAAGTCGAGATATAAATTGGCCGTTTTTCGTCTGCGCGCGGACGATCGAAATCGTGCAAGACGCCGCGCATGTTGCCTGCCTCTCTCGCGTGATATTCACTGTAACGCGGCGAGTAAAATGGTAAGCCGAATGCAATCGTTCGATTAATTCGTTAAATACTTATATATACCGAACGAAAAAGCGAACCAGAATGTAATCATTCGATTAATTGATTAAATACTTATATATATCGAACGAAAAGATGAATCGGAATGCAATCGTTCGATTAATTAATTAAATATTTATATATATCGAATAAAAAAGCGAGTCAGAATAGATACATCAATTTATTATTAAAGTTCGAATTTGCGTCGCTACGTGTGTTTAAGTATACTGTACATGTCTAATTTATTATCTTGTGTTTGACCAATAAATTTTACTACAAGTCTTATACAATATATAAAACAAACAAATAACTTGCTTACATATTCTAGTTACTTGAGTATTATCATAAAAGGATAGAACTAGTGCAGTACTCTTTATTTGATAATGAATGCAAAAAATCTTTAGTCAATGAGTTCGCCAAAGAGCTAAAATATATATCTGGAAAATGTATGCATATCAGTTTTATATAATTTCCGGAGATATAACGAAGAAGATTCTTCTTCCGTTTATATAGAATCTGCAATTTTGAAATTTTAATTAATTATACATTTTATTTATTTAAATTATCTATTAAATTAATTATATACTTTATTAATACATTTTTTATACATATTTCATTTAATTAATTATATATATTTTATATACTTTATTTATATTTAATTAATTATATATTTTATTAATATATTTTCTTCTTATTTATTTATTTATATGGAGATCAATAATTTATATAATTGATCAAGCTTTTTTGTTAAATTTTAATATTTTTTACAAAGAATATATTTTATTTTCAAACATTTTTCATTCCCGAACATTCGTGCTTAAACGTTCGATCTGGAAATATGAGTCAGCAAAATTAAAAAATTCAAAATTAAACAACTGAGCAAGCGATTAAATAATCCGCCATGACAATGCAATCGCGAATTCGTACGTACCAAGCAAATACGACAAAATTTGCATCCTTCGAATATTGCAAAAATTGTAATAGAATAAATACATCAATTTATTATTAATTTCGAGTTTACGTCACTTAATGTGTTTAAGTATATTATAAGTTAAGTATTTGTCTGTTTGTCTTATATTTGTCATGTTCCACCAATAATCCCTGTCACAAATTTTATTTAACAACATTATAAGTCAAGCGATTAATATACTTATTCTAGTTATCTGAGTATCATGATAGAACCAGCGCAGTACAGTTTATTTGATATTGAATGAAAAAAATGTATCATCTTTAGTCAATGAGTTCGCCAAAGAGTTAAAAAATATATCTGAATAATGTATGGATATCGGTTCTATATAATTTCCGGAGATATAACGAAGATAATTCTTTCTTGATCTAAACGCGACAATAATTGGTAAGAAAAAATAATAAATTATAAAAATATACAATAGAAAAAAAAACGCGCGCACTCACATACACACACACTGTGTGCTATAAATATAAGTTAATACAACAATTATAATAAAGATATAAAAATTATTATAAAGTTGTAGATATTATGGAGGAAATGGTTAAATATGCGAACGAAACGTACGGTGATGACAAACCACTCAAATTCGAAGTGTTGGATATTCAAACTAAAAGTTTACCCGAGAAATACATTTCAAAATTTAATCATATTCTCATTTCATGTTTTGCAATGGTGTCATGACATTCGGTAAGAAAAATTATTAAATTAAAAGCATAGATCTTTTTTTGTAGGAAATAACTTTTATATGACAAAATTTAAATAAAAATGAATTATTTGTAATAAGATCTATTATCAAAATAGTAAAAGAACAATTATAATGGATTAAAGAATCATACGCTAAATTTATATATAGGATGTTCCTAAATATGCAATAAATATTTTAATGACAAATTCTTTGTAACATTTTAAGACGAAAATTCTAATATGAAAATGATGAGGCTATAATAGTTTTCAAGTGGGAAAAGTTTAAAGATTACGAATGACATGGCTAGAATTTCATGCGCTCAGGAGTGGCAAAATAACAAATAGTAAAGATGCTTCCATGAATCGAATGCTTTTGATGTTAATGAAATTATTGTGAAAATATTCAAGAATTTCATTAAAAGTCGTGATCTTTAAACTTTTACCATTTCAAAACTATTAAAAGTCTCGACATTTTCGTATTTGAATTTTCGTCTTAAAAAATGTTGCAAAGAATTTATCATTAAAATATTTACCGCAAATTTAGGAACACCCTGTATAATTCATATATTTACATCGAAAGTAGTTATTCATACTTTGAATATATTATTCATAATTTCATCTTTTGTCTACCGAGAAATAAATAGATATATATTTTAATCAAAATTATATTTTTATTCGATTAAATTAATAACAACATACTTTCTTTTAAATTTTAACGGAAATTTAATATATTAGATTTAGATTTATATTATTATATTTATTTTTCGATTTATCTGGATGTGACATTATGTATAGTACATTTTTTATTTTGCAACCAATTGTAATACTGAGAATGGCTAAAACTAATGTCGAAACATATATTTTTATTTATATATTTAATATATGTACCATATTAATGTAGATAAATTTAGCACGGAAAAATTTAGCGTATAACTCTTTAGTTCATTATAATTGTTTTTATATGACTTCACCAATATACTTTTATATACATAACTGTATTTCAAAAGAATATTCTAATAGATGTATTATAATGGACGTATATTTTTAAAATTATAATTAACAGTTTAATTTCGTTGTTTAACAGTCAAACTTTTGAAAATATTTATTGTATGCTTCGACCTGGTAAAACTATACTTATATTAAGCGTAGCACATAACACAATGTTGTTTGAAATTCTGAAAGTTATAATGCAAGATAAGTGATATGCATCATATATAAAGGTATATTATTATATCATTATTATTATCAAAGAAAAAAAATTGTACATTAATTTCCATATGTGTAAAAAGAACTTCGTTTTTATCAATTTTAAAAATCCGTCGAATATTATTAATAATTAATTAAAAGATTCGATTACATTAAATTAAAAGATTCGATTACATTAAATTTACTGATGTACGATTACTAGATAGAATTTATTATCTTCACTTTATTATCTTCAGTGAAAATATATTGATATCGCGACTCTCAAATGTAACAGTTTGCAATGTACGTAGCATAATTTTTAAAATTGCTTTCTTTTTCGTATCGATATATATATATATATATATATATATATATATATATATATATATATGTGTGTGTATGTATGTATTACATTACTTCGAGGTTCTTCATGTATAAATTTCATTAATAAAATTAATTTATACAGGACAAAAAGAAATGTATCGTTTCATGACTCAATCCAACCTGACATAGAGCTGAAAGAAATACTTGAAAATATCGGATTTCAAGTTCATCATTGCAGTCATCGAGAGATAAATAGTTTTCTGAGCACAAAAAAGTTTACACGCAAGTATTTTCTTTTGATATGCATTCAAAAATTAAGTTCTATATTAACATTCGTATCATGAATGTTTTTCCTTATTTCTTTTAATTAAAAATTTTCCAACAGCCATGGTTATCTCACAGCACACTTTTGCATTTTTGGAGCAGATGCCGCATAATCTAAGAATGGAAATTGGAATATGAAATTAAAGAATGAATTTACACGTATGTT